TTTTTTTTTGGGTTGCAAATTACACTTACTCATCAAAATTTTCCGTGTTTTCAGCAATAATTTATGTTAATTTTCACTCTTACTTAGCTTGGTGTCACGTTTTGTTGTTATATTTTGCACTGTTTCGCATAAATTTTCCTTTCTTACTGCCGAAAAATTCTTCAGTTAATCTTCTATTTTTACTTAGCTGATTTCTAAGCTTTCATTGGCAAAATTTTCTTTTTGGTGACATTTTTTATTCTCTAGATAAACTTCATGTTTCTTTGCATTGCGCTGAAATAACCTAGCGTAATATTTTCTCGTAGTAAAATTATGTAGAGGGCTGGGGAAGGGGTGAACTAAGAACGTAAACGTGCGCGATGCTTCCGCTTTTGTAGCAAACTTTAACTCCAACAAAGGGGTTTAGAAAAGCACACTTCACGTCTAATTAGCTTTTCGCCGAAGGTGAGGCCTACCATTCTCGAACTAGATCTGCCATTCGCATGCTACTTGATCAAATGATTTGACCCATTACTTGACCATATAACTATTCCAAATGTTGAATTATAAAATAATTTGTCATGAACTCTTTGTGGCGAGCAGCAGACCTTTAAAACGACATATTATCTTTTAAATCCGTAGAACAACTTTATTTTTCTTATTATCTACGTCGATTGTATGTTTGCTGATAACTTCACGCGTGGATCAACAATCCACCTGGGTCTTCATTTACTGGACAGTCTTAGGAACAGTGGACAGATTTTCTTCTGGAGGGGTATTTTCTGATAAGGTTTCAGAAGGGATATTCCCTGGCAGGTTTCAGGAGAGGGTGCAAAAAGCTGATCAAGAAGGGTACTTACTGGATTTCATTCGAACAAAAAAAGGAACGAGCGACTCATACGGTGGCACTGTTTTAGTCTACAGCCCTTTGCTCAGTCACGACGAACATTCCGTACATGGGATATACCGGCGTGGCAACGTGACCCCGTCTATGAATGTTTGTGCTTTACAGATACCTTTTTATCGCCCCCCGCCTTCCTTATCTTTTCTTTGCCCATACAGAGTCTACGACTTCACACTATTGCATCAGGCATTTTTGTAACTCACGCAACTACGTTCATAAAACGAGTCGTATCGTATTTTGTCTAACCA